CTCCCCCTCCTCCTCCTCCTCCTCCTCCTCCTCCTCCTCCTTCTTCTTCTTCTTCTTCTTCTTCTTCTTCTTCTTTTATCTGTTTTATTTGTCCGTCTTCATTCTTCATTCTTTGTTCTTTGTTCTTTGTTCTTTGTTCTTTGTTCTTCGTTGTTCGTTGTTCGTTGTTCGTTCTTCGTTCTTCGTTCTTCGTGTTTTGTTCTTCCTTGTTCTTCTTCTTCTTCTGCTGCTTCTTCTTCTTCTTCTTCTTCTTCTTCTTCTTCTTCTTCTCCTGCCTTCGTTCTTTCTTCTTCTTTCTTTCTTCTTTTTTTTTTCTTCGTTCTTCGTTCTTCGTTCTTCGTTCTTCGTTCTTCGTTCTTCGTTCTTCGTTCTTCTTATTGAAATGACTTGCTGGTTTCTGGTCGTCTGTAGCCTCTCTCTTGTCGAGGCTGTACCATCTGTAGGTTAGATTCGCAATTTCGTTTGGCTGAGGTCTAACCAAGAGACCTGCCTGTAAGGAAATTCGTTAGGGACATATCTGCAAATTTGGGAAAATATAGGCCCACACTAGTTTGAATTCCTACAGTTACCCTGACTGCGAATAGCAGGCCCACACTATTTTGAATTCCTACAGTTACCCTGACTGCGAATAGCAGGCTCGGGCTACCCCTAGGACAGACAGGCCCTAAGGGCCTAAGCTGATAGACGGTCCCATAGCCTATAGCCGGGTTGGGAGAGGGCCTAGAGGCCGAAACAGAAACGGTAATAGTCGGTCAGTCAGTCCAGTCTAGGTTGAGTCTAGACTAGAGTAGACCATAGATAGGTGGAGCACATCGGTTGAGGGCTTTTGGCGGTTGGTACCAAGTACATCGCTGCTGTGCTACGCATGAACCGGAAGTGGTGACAGCTCCGCGTTGAGGGAGACGGACATAGCCAGACCTTCGGAGCGCCGGCCATAGCTGGGACCTTCGCTGTACTCTGTCAGCACGCGTGGCTGTACAGAGGTATGGGCTATTCGAGGTCTGCTGGAGGCGAGAGAAGTTGGTGCCCTGCTGGGCCCTCCTTTGGAGTCGGGTTACAGGGTTGTGGCGCTGCAGCCATAGCTGCAGCTTCTTCCTCAGAGATCATATTGTCAGGAGTGCTGGCGCTGCTGCAGACTTCCACCCGGGAAGTCTTCCAACACTTCGTCATCATCAGATACTGTGGCGCTGGTCTTCTTCTTCATCATCTTAGTGGCGCTTGGCCTCAGAGGCCTGTTTCAGGGACTCAGGGGTAGTAATAGCGGTTCATCAGGGTTGGGAAGTGAAGCGCTGCTCATTTCTGAGCAGCGCATCATAGTTCTGAGTATATCCTGACAACTCGAAACTCTTTGGTCTTCAGACAACAGACAACCAGAATCATAACATTATGGTAAAAGTGAGTGATTTTGCACATGGAATTGCATGTTCCGTCTGGTTGTGGTCAACTGCATATCTGGGAGACTGACGTTGGATGCAAGAATTGCCTGAATTACTCAAGGAACAATAATATAATCACATTGCAGTTAATGACAATGAAAGACCAAAGCAAGAAGGTTTTCCTCAGCAAGCAGCGGAAGGGAAAAATAGTAAATAGTTCTACAAACCAGACAGTCCTTAGAAACAGAAAAATAATAAACAATTTGCAATAAAGAATGCTTTTTCTCAATCGGGAGGGAAAAGAGAGCAAAAATTCAATCACTAGGGGCAGCCAAAATGGACAAAAAGATGCATGGTTAGGGCCAGGGAGCAGGCAGGTAGGTGGGTGGGCACGCACGGGCACGCAAATGAACATACATATGGACAGACGGACAGGCTGGCTCTGACAGACACACACACGCACACAGGCATCTGCACACACACACACACACACACACACACACACACACACACACACACACACACACACACACACACACACACACACAAACCTCTCTCAAACGCGCATAACAAAGAGACGGACAGAGCTGTAAATAGTAGCATATGGACTATGATGAGGCCCTGTCTCTTATACACATCTAGATGTGTATAAGAGACAGCACACACACACACACACACACACACAGCAAAAGCAGAAGGACTTTCAAATGAGCATTGCAAAGTGGTAGGAAGAGTTCTGAATAGTAGCATATGGACTATGATGAGGCCTGTTTGAGTCGTACAGAGTGTCTGTGTGGCAGAGTGACCGCTCCGCAACCCCTCTAAGTCTTCACTGCCTTTGCCATCTAGCTGAAGGGGAGGGTAAAAAGGGGGAGAGAGGGGAGGAGAGAGAAACCAGGGAGGGGATGGGACACAAGCACTTTCCCTTCCCTTGCAAACCAGGGGTTCCAGGGATCGGGGGTCCCAGTGAGAGGGTACGGGGGTTGATCGACAACCCCGGCTCACCCCCAGGGGATCCCAGCGTGACAACACTCGGATTCTACGGACCTTCCTTTTCGCAAACCAGCTGGTTAATATGTTTTCCGGTCTTTGTTGAAGACTTTTGAGTTCATCTTTTCTGACCACTATGGCATTCCCTACCCTCTCCGAGTCTGTGTCGTCTGTCATAGCCACTACCCAGTCGCTTTCCTGCCAGGTTGGGCCTTTTCTCAGCATCACTCTCCATGCTAGCGGCACCAAACAGCTTAGCAGTTTCTCGTTGTGTTCCGCTTGTTGCCAAGTTGGTGGCAGTATTTGACTTCTTGTTGGAGTTGAGTTGCATTTCCCTGTCCCTTTTTCTTTCCGCTGTCCCAGATAGAGGTTGCCTGTATAACTTCCTCCCAGCGCAGAAGGGCCGCCTTGTCCAGGAGAGTCAGTTCCCTCCAGGTTTCGAGAAGGGAGACCCAAAATTCATCTCTGGACCTCTGGTTAAATTAAAAATGTCTTTCAGTGCTAAGCCTTCCGGTCTGTCTGTGTCACAGGGAAATGTCACTGTTATGTGACTTTGGTGTGGAGATGTCTCATCGAGCCTGCAAAGCGTCGCCACAGCAGCCCTCATGCCTCTGGATCCTGAAGACTGAGCCCAGGACCGCAGAATGAGGATCTCGACTAACTCTCGACCGTTGATTTGTGCTTATGATGGTTTGACATGCTTTGCATCTGACAGGATGCATTGAATCTGACCAGCTGCAGACTGCCAGATTATTCGACTCCCGGCAATGCCTCCGCATGCATGTGTGAGGATACTCTTCCTCCTCTCGAGTGCCGACCGCCCCCGCTCACAATCCACAACATCATCGCGCCCATGGAATCAGCGCCGACATTGTATGAAGATATCAAGTGCTGCGGAAGCTGCCTCGGAAATGGAAATCCTAGTCCCACTACAGTCTCCGATCCTTCGGCTTCGTCGCCGCCAGCAGCACCTGCTAATCCTTCTTCTCCATCTCCGTAAACAGTGCAATCATGCATGTCCGAAGCACCACTGAAAGCTGACGACCGTGGATGGTGGCGAGCAGAGACCCCTTCCCAAGTGGACACTTCTCGGGAGGTCTATCAGCAGGCACAGGCGTGCTCAAGTCATAAAGTGACAGTCATAATGGCAGCATCCAGAGCTGCGCTACCATTGTCAGTGATCTTTGTCGTTTTATACTGTGTGGCAGAAATCCTCAGGTGCTGATGAGAACCGACAGACAGAGAAACAAGAGCTTGAAGAAGAAAGCAATCCAGGCTGGAGAGCATGCTAACCAGCAGTACCGCCATAACCAACCACCTCATCCACTGTGTCTCGCTGGGAAATATCGATGAACAGCATGACTGTGAAGAGAACGAGATGGCTTGGATCGGGCTCTGTTTCCGGGTCTGGTTCCGGTTTTCCGCAACGATCCCTGCAGCATCTCACGTTTACTAGTCCTCCGCTGAGCTGGGTATCAGAGAGGGTTGGGGTTCAACCAAGGGCTGGCTTTTCCGACTGAAATCCCTTTCATTCCACACAGTGCTGATCTTGTGTTCAGGTTGCCGTCCTTTCCACTTCTGCTTCCAGTTATGGTTCTTTCCGATTCTGGGTCTGACTGTGGCTCTGGTATCGGTTCCACCAAGTTCTGTTTTGCTTCCTTTCCGCTCTGGTTTCTGCTTCTGGTTGTGGTTCCTTCCAGTTCTGGCTTTGATTTTGGGTCTGGTTCTGGTTTTGATTTGTAGTTCTGGTTCTGGTTCTGGTTCTGGTTCTGGTTCTGGTTCTGGTTCTGGTTCTGGTTCTGGTTCAACAGGAGGGTTCTGGTTCTCGTTATGGTTTCAGCTGCTACTTGTTCTGGTTCTGGTTCTGGCTCTGTTTCTCGCTCTGGTTCTGGTTCTGGTTCTGTTTCTGGCTCTGTTTCTGTTTCTGGTTCTGGTTCTGGTTCTGGTTCTGGTTCTGGTTCTGGTTCTGGTTCTGGTTCTGGTTCTGGTTCTGTTGCTGGTTCTTATTCCGGTTCAACAACAGGGTCGTGGTTCTTGTTTTTGTTTTGGTTGCTACCTATTCCGGTCCTGCCTCTGCTTCTGCTTCTGGTTCCCTCCAGGGTTCCTGTTCTGGTTTCTGTTTTCTGTTTTTTTGTTTTCTGGTTCTGTTCCGAGTGTGCACCATGTCAGTGACATATTGGAACAGTTGCTACTTGTTCTGGTTCTGGTTCTGGTTCTGGTTCTGGTTCTGGTTCTGGTTCTGGTTCTGGTTTCAAAGCCTTATCACTGCACCATGGCAGCGACATATTGCTGGCGGGACGAGTGGCGCAGTGATGGGGCTTTGAAAGGAGTAGAACAGATGGCCTTGAATGCCCATGAAGTTCACGTCGGCTTTGTTGAGGGCTAGATGTGCAATACCCATCCGTGGAAATCTCTATCAAATCATGATGACAAGCATGACAGCGATTTTTGGTTGGAGTAGACTCTGAACAGCACACCAGAAGATTCGAGTGACTACAATGAATGCAGACTTCCTTTCACTTATTTCTTGTTGTTTTGCTTTGGGTGGCAGGGGGGTATGCCATCAGTCGAAGAGATCAGTTTACTGTTGTATCATCAAATGTTCATTATAAAATCTCATTTTACTGGACGCTGGGCCTGGTTTCTAAAAGGTCAGTCTTGTCCTTCGGGATATCTGTTAAAATTGGAACGATACAGAGAAGATTAGCGTTGCCCCTGTGCAAGGATGACACGCATAAATCGAGAAATGGTCCAAAAGGTCAGTCTTAGAGCACACTCACACCAGGCCCTCAAACTTGCAAAATCACAAAATGAGGGGCTAGGTCGAGTCCTTGTAAAGGAAGGACTAGATCTGGCCGTTCATTTTGGGATTTTGCGATGTTTGGGGCCTAGTGTGAGTGTGCCCTTAAATTTTCCACGAGTTCAAAAAAGTAAGGGGTTCTCTCAACTTCTATGTGATCCATTCACAGAGCATAACTCTGGGGAAGCAACAGAGAGATCTGCACTTGTCTGATGGTCTCTTTAAAGGACCACCACCTTTCACCTATATCGGCGGCGGCGGTTCTCACAATTCACATTTTCGGAGGCCGGATGCCGCCGATGAAATTTATCAATGGCCCCGGGCCCGAGAATTGCGGTGTACAGTTTTACCACTTGGCCTCCCAGTGTGAAAGGTAGTGGTGGTTAATAGAAACTTGATTTCTTCTTCTTTTAGTTCTCCCTTTCTATTTCTTTCTGCTGTTTTTTTTCTTTACGTTTTTTTTGCTTTTCGTGTGTGTGCATGATAGCATCAGCAGACCGTTCTAGGGTGAAACAGGCGCTGTTCAAGAAACGGACTTTTTGTGGGCGAAAAAGACAGAGGAAAGCACAAAAGCACTCTACTCTTCAGATGTGGCCACACAGTGGAAGAAGCAATTTTCCATAAAATGGGAGAAGACGGTATCAAGAATGAGCAACATTAAAAACACCACTGTCCACAGGTGGATCCCTCTAGTACATGTTTGGTCAAAGCTGCCACCCTGGATCATCATGAGGTTTTTGCCTCTGAGGACCGTAACGTTGATCCTCTACTCTTTATGCTACTCCAAGCACTTGCATGCGTCAGTGTGAGCACGTGTTTTTTTTCCCGACTTTTCTCCTTACCTACACTGAAGATCCTTTGATTGCTGTTGCAGGCAAAGAGGAAAAAACAATTAAAAAAACAATGAAAAACCAATAAAAAAATGCAAACACAGCCAGTTCTCTTATCAGATAGATCCGTTGTTTCAAGACGTGCCCCGTCCCTTCAAAAGAGCCTAGCCCTACGCATCCGGTTACCACATTGCTGCTGACAGTCTGAGCCACCCCGACCAGCCGTGGTCCTGGAAATGCTACTGCTGCGGTTTCCTATCCCTATACCCAGTTACGGGCTCCATCCCGTTCCCTATTGTCAAATCATTTGCTACGGCTATAACTAACCGCCGGTGGCCTACTGCACCAAAAAATCCTCTTATCCGACTAACCGCCGGTGGCCCACTGCACCGAAAAATCCTCTTATCCGACTAACCGCCGGTGGCCTACTGCACCAAAAATCCTCTTATCCAGCCCCGGGGACCTTCTCCACATACACCGTTGAGTTGCGGTAACTCAACGGTATGACAGTGGAAAATGCCTTTTTTAACTCGAAAGAAATCGGCAGTGTAATTTTTTGATGTGTGTTTATATTCTTCCCCACCTTTCATTCTATTTTATGATACAAAGCTATTGTGAGAAGGTATTCATGCTGTCCACCGCCATATGAGGAAGTGAAAGTGGACTCGGACATGTGCTGTCCGTGTTAACCGTGCCCACTGCTCCTAACAACCAGTGAAGTCATCTCAGGGAGGTCGCCAGTCCACATGAATGCGGACATCATCACAGCTCATTCAGAAGTGCCAGATTCTCTTTTCGCTGAGCGTGTGAAACGAGGAGGAACAGCCATTTGCCTCACACCGTAAACAACGGATATCAAAAACGCTCTGACGCAGACAATAATGACGGCACCAAATAAATAAAAAAAATTCACACATCGGCCGCAAGCTTCGGAGCGTTGAGCTAGCTGAGACGCAAAAACGAGTCAGCTTGCTCAACGAGAAAGGGCAAGGGTAGGGGGTGTTGTATTCGTGAACAGCTATTTTTCCACGGTTTCAATGAAATGAAAAGAGGCCTTTTTGTTGGGCGTACACGCTCCACGTAAATCAACCGTGCGATTTCAAGGAGATCACGCGTCACGCGGTGTCACGCGTGATTGAAAACCCCAACGAGGAGCTGGGTCAACGGCGCTGGTGGGACAAGGTCCCCGGAGCCCTCTCGGATTTCAAAAAAAAAAACAGCCTATTTTCCCTTTCCCTTCCAAACCCAACTCTTCACGACCCCTTTAATTAATCCCCGAAGCCTCTCGGAATTCAAAAGTCTGGCTAATCTAGCCAAAGCACCCTCCAGGGGATAGCCCCCGAGGAGAGTTTCCTGCAAAGTGGCTGTGATAGCTGGGATAGCCATGGAATTCGTTCTAAGGGTGTTTAAAAAAAAAAAAAAGTACTACAATTTTATCAGTGATTGAGAACTCTTTTTTGAAGTTTTTCCCTTTTTCTTTTCTATCCAGTCTATTCATGGGGAGGATGTGCTGGGAACCGGGCCCAGTGTCCGATATGAAAATATAGTCCAATTGAAGTACCAGGGCCATTACCTGGCCTAGGCTAAGAAACTATCTCCATGATCGGAGGGTCATTGAGAACTCCACTCCTCATCTATTCCCAATTTGCCACCCAGAATTATTCTGAGTATTTAGTTCTGTGTCCCATCCTCGGTGAATGGGAGGGGAAGAGGGATGTCAGTTGTGGCCCGTCTTAGGTTAAAATCTCCGAACGTCAGGTACCACATTCAGGCCCATGATCTGTAATTGATGGTCACTGGTGGCCTGCTCATGGGGGAAGAATGTTCTCAAATAATAAAACCCTAGTTTAATGGGGGGAAAAAGAAAAAAGAAAATAGAAAGGTCTTCCTGAAATCCCCCTCGGAATTAATGTTGCTTATTAATCCCAGTTCATTGCCAGTTGAGGAATTGTTTACCTTATCTTGGTATGAAAAGTACTTTAGGCCTGCAAAATAATCGGAGGGATCAACATATAAACCGGGAGGAGCTGGAACAGACACACACACACACACACAGAGAGAGAGAGAGAGAGAGAGAGAGAGAGTGGGGTGAACTGAGGTATTCGGAACTGGTTTGAATATAACCTAGAGTTCAAAGTTGGAACTAAAAACTGGGTAGCACCGCATACACGCACGTGACCTCCGCATACATCCGCACACGTATGCGTGTACGCACGTACGTATCGTGTACATGTGCACTCGCACGTATTTTTGGGCCCCGTGTACGTGGTAGCGGAGGGCGATTTTTGGGGCTGTTTTGGCCCAGTACGGCCCGGTAGGGGCTGGGGGGTGAACGAAGCGGTGTGCACTGGGTAGGGGGCAAAGTGGGGCCAGGGGGTAAGGCAGGGCAGCGGGTAGACTATCCCGCCACAAATTTCGAATTCATGGTGGGATGGTCTACTCCCGCGCCCCGCATCACCCCTGCCACGTGGAGTCGACATCGTCGTGGCTGTTGCCATTGCAGTCGTTGTTGCACCATACCACGTCAAGTCACCGTCGTCGTCGCCGTTGCCATCCCCGTTGGCGGTAAGTGTGTGTGTGTATGTGCCACTCTGTGTGTGTGAGAGAGAGAGAGGACACCTCCACACCTGCCATCTCTGTAGCGACCTCTGGTTGGCCTGTGAGACCAGCCCCTTGGCCTGTTCTCACAGGCCTGTGTTCTATTCGGGGGCAGTCCAGTCCAGTCCAGGCCGGTACCTCTGTCGGTACCAGCCAGTCCAGTCCAGTCCAGTCAGTTTGGAGTACGTGCGTTGGAGTCTTGCGTGGGGAGCTGCGTTGTGCCATCTCGCTCCCCCCCTTCTTCCTCCATCTCCATCTCTATCACTAGCGGAGCACCACACCTGGTGGGTCTGCTACATTGCTATCGGAGCGGGAACGTTCCCCACTCCCGCCCACCACCCCGTACAGTTGTCCAGCTGAGGAAAACAGCAAAACCCGACATCAGTTTTTTTCGCTGTTTTCGGGTGTTTTTCGGTGAAAACAGAGGGAAAAAGCGGCGCCTGCAGGAGGTGACACGTGGCGAAAAAAGCAGGCGCCAAAC